AGTGTGCCTAAAAACACAGTGTGCCTAAAAACACAGTGTGCCTAAAAACAAAGTGTGCCTAAAATAAAGTGTGCCTAAAAACAAAGTGTGCCTAAAAACACAGTGTGCCTAAAAACAAAGTGTGCCTAAAAACACAGTGGGACTAAAAACAAAGTGTGCCTAAAAACACAGTGTGCCTAAAAACAAAGTGTGCCTAAAAACACAGTGTGCCTTAAAACAGCCACAAATGTAACACCTGGAGTGTCATTCTGTGCTAAATAAACAAATAAATAAACAAAAACCTTAAATAACAGGTATGCCCACACACAAAATCTTACTTTGCTGAATCAGTCCATGACAAAAACAATTGAAAAGAGAAAATAAATCTCAAAATATATCATCAGACGTGCACCTGTTGGTAAATGGACTGTACTTATACAGCGCCTTTCTATCTAATCAAGATACTCAAACTAATTCAAATTCTGCTCATTTTAAAACAAACAATAACTCTTGCAGAAGCAGAAAAACAAACAAACAAACAACCACTACTTTATGTTAATGGACACAAGTGACAAAGGTAAGAATAACTGCTGACCTTATAGAAACTAAACAGTGTCCTATAGACCTAACAAGATCTGGACTTAACCAAATAAAAGCTTTGATCATCATCCATCCATCCATCCATCCATCCATCCATCCATCCATCCATGCATCCATTCTCTTCCTCTTATTCTGAAGTCGGGTCTCGGGGGCAGCATCTTGAGCAGGGAGGTCCAGCCATCTCTCTCCACAGCCTCTTCCAGCTCTTCTGGGAGAACTCCAAGGTGTTCCCAGGTCAGCTGAGAGACATAGTCCCTCCAGCGTGTCCTGGGTCTTTCCCGGGGTCTCCTCCCAGTCGAAGCACCTCCCTAGGGAGGCACCCAGGGAGCATCCTTACCAGAGCTCATGACCAGAGGTTTGATCAATTCGAGAAAAAAAGTGTTTGTCTTCTCTTAATAAAAAATGTTTCTGTTTCAATAATCTGATCTAAACGTCAGCAATGCTGAACAGTATACCAGTGTAGGTTTTCTGTTATCTGGGACATGGCTAGTCCCCCCCCCCCCCCCCCCCCCCC